TAATAATAATAATAATAATAATAATAATAATAATAATAATAATAATAATAATAATAATAATAATAATAATAATAATAATAATAATAATAATAATAATAATAATAATAATAATAATAATAATAATAATTCAAGGAGAACCAAGTTTCTACATATCTACATCTTGTGTGGAGTTTCTAGGCCACGCTAAAAAACGCAATTTGGCACATTTCACAATACCTTTGCAACCAACTGTAAACCCATAGTCGAAAAGTAACACGTACTCCGTTTACTCAAGACTCCACTCCTGACTGTCAAAAGGAAGATACTTAAGGCAAAAACCAATTCTAGCCCGAATATTTATATATACTTCCTGTTAGGATCAAGAGCATCCAAACCCTCCATGGTTTTCTCATACCTTAAATGTAGTATGGTTAGCCAGAGTATTCTGCCCGATATGGTCGCAGGAAAGCAAGCTTACATCGTAAATACGATCCCACCACTAAGAATTAGTCTTGCAAGTCGGGGTACGGCGCCAGACCAGAAAGTAAAAATTCCTTCATCTCTCAATATCTTCGCAGCGCATTCAAAACTGTTATTATAACTGTTTCTTGCTTCAATAGATTGCATTCTGCAGAAGATCAGTTCTTCGACTGCGGTCGAATTGGTCATGCGGGAGATATACTTACCTCGTCTTCACAGTATCCAGTGGCTGTGTCACATAACTTGAGAGTATCATCAGTATTGTAGAGCTGTATAAGAACAATTCAAGCACATACACTGTAACCAGTCCAGCCATCCCCCCAATAGCGAATGTACTCAAGGTACCAAGCTTCTCACCAGGGGCAACATATCCTTGGGCAAATTGGCGGAGTGTTGTATAGCTACCAAATCTCGTAGCTGAGTTTGCGGCTTGTCGAGCGGTCGTTGGGACAAATCCTTGGAAAAAGCCACGAATTCCCCGCTCGCGAAAAATAAGGGTGGTCCCATGAACGAAGCCTCGCATTCGAGGGTTTCCAGATTTACGATCATCTATTCTAGGAGTTATTGGTATCAGTGAAAAGAGAGAAAGAAGTAGGCTTTAAGGAGCAGAGACAGCTGAGTTTTGATACTCTCGAAAGGAGTTACTGCGAGAAGTGACTCAGTGAATCCGGCCCCAAAGCCCGCAACAACTGTTCGAGGCCCCGATATCTTGCCCTCATTATCTTGAAGGAAGGATTTGAATGTGTCGAAGGCCACGAAACCTATTTTTGCAGCAGTATGAGCTGATAATCTCCTCAAGCACTGATAAACATACGAATTCCTGCCTTGAGCGAATTCCCCAGTATTAAAGTTGTACATCCTGCATACCACGCCTTACCGAACGGCGGCCAAGGCAGTTTCTTTCCATCCGGAAGTCGATGGTTCAACTGGGTTCTTGTTTTTGCAACTGCGGCGGTTAGTTAGGTTTCTCCGAGTCACTTATTGGGCTTACACTCCGCTGGGTATGTAATTGCTAAAGACTAGAATATCAGCAATAGTGTGGGTAAACTAATTTGGACAGCGCATTAATTACAAATTTCGACTGCTCCGGCTGTGGATCCGGCAATGATGGATCGTAGATTGCTGGGCTTTATAACGTAGATTAGTCTTTGCAAGCTAGAGAGATTTTTATCTTGTCCTTATCTGAACCTTAGGCTTCTGGTCGCTGTCCGAACTCGCCATGATGCAAAGCGGAAAAATGAGTCAAGTTACTTCAGTCTTGGAAATTGGATTTTTAAGATCTGGGGGGCCCTAGTATGGACCAGCGCATACTTGAGGTTTACCTCATCCCCTCAGACGGGTGCTGTTAAGGTTCTTTAGCGCGAATTTGGTGTTTTGAGCTAATCCATTTGGGTAATTTGGCCAGAACCTGACCAGCACAGTGTCTGACTCAGTTTTCAGCTTGTTTGCAGGAAGTTGAAAGTCATCATATAATATGAGAGTAGTAAAAGTAATGATTTAACTTTTAAGTTGTAATTGTTGATTCATCACTTAAAGACTTCATGTTAAAATGAAGCACAGAAGTAAATGACTAAAGAGCTGTTAAATAAATATGTTTCTAACAGATTTAAATAAATATTTATGAAGTTGTGTATTAAGTGCTATTTGTGTCTTATAGAAAGTTGTAAGTTCAACATATTTTGAAATCAGTTACAGTATCAGAATTTTGATGAAATAATACATTAAAAAATTGAAACAGCAATTTTTACTTACATTTTTGAAAATTCTTATTTTTATAGTGAACCTCTATAGAATATGCTATAGAAAACTATAGTATATAAAGCAATATTTTGTATATAAATTTAATCATAAAAGTGCAATATTCTCACAAACTGTAACAGCTTGAAGTATGTTTAGTTCATTATACTAATGAGAATATTTCACAAAGATGATACAGACAGTAAAAAAAAAAAAATTTTATAAAACTTTTACAAAAGATAAAACTTACAGAGAGAGTCTTAGATCTCAGCTATTATCTACAATTGTTGTTAAATTAGTTTATATCCTATTATGATAGTCTGAAATATCAAATAATTATTTAGTCATCTAGATAGGCAACTGTAAAGTGTTATGGAAATAAAAATATATCATACATGCTCGTGATATTGATAGCAAAGCCCATTTACTCACATTTCTTCTGCTAGGCACTCAACTAAACCTTTTGAAGCTAAAATTTGAACCCATTTATAAACTGCGGGCCCATAGTCATGTCTTCTTTTTCTTGCATACCCCTGATCTGCATCACGGGTTTGCTGCTCTTCCTTAATTGATAATCGTATTTCCCTTTGCACATCAAGAAGCACCTTCCGAAAATCCAATAGGATATCCTTTGACGCAGACTTATAACTGTCGATGTCATCTTCACTTACTCTCGCCCCATCTAAAATGTGTGCCGTTAGATTGAATGAAGAATCCGGGCCCGTCACAGTGGCACCATCACAAGGCTCAATGTTGTGAATGGAATGGCGGTCGCGTAGTTGGTCCTCAACTGCAGCCAAGCTCTTCACGTTCACAGCTAATTGGTGGACCAGGCCGAATATGGGGTCTCGAGCCAGACTTAGAATGGAAAACTCGATTTGATCCTCTTCATACTCAGCCATTCTCGATTGAATCTCAGGTTTTGCAAGATCTAGCCAGTCACCACCGACATATTTGCCTAACGAGGCAGGAGTTAAATAAAGCTACTAGGTCGGATCAGTTTGCACTTGCCTAGACTTTGGGGTTGGCGTTCAAGTCCGTCGAATTTCCAAACTATACCATTTACTGGAACAAACGCAATAAAATGGAACCCTGCAGCCGATTCGTCATATATTTGGTTTCGTTTTCCAATCCTAGACTTTTTGGATGTTGTATCGTTTTTTAATTGAAGGTCGATGCTGAGTATATCCATACCTCTGTGCCATGTTAGCAACGGGTTAGCATGTAGCATAGATCTACATCAGAACATGCTACCTCGCAAATGAATTATGAGTTTCTTTGATAAATTCAAAATTACTGATTGCGTCGCCTCGTAATGCCGGTGTAAAACCCATAGTAAAATCCTTGAATGCACGGAGATGTTCTCCAAGGTCAACCTCAGTCACATTGTTAACAATGTTGAGAAGTGCAACACTAGCACAAGCATAATTCACCGTCTCAAAAAATTTGTAAATCAGCATTTGTAGATTCTCATGCAACAATTAAAAAGTGTGGAATTACCTGATTTGCAAACCAAAGTGTATTGGGGCAGCTTTGTTCCTGTTTTATTGGATCGTCTTCTCGCCATTGAAATAGAAATATGAGTCCATACATAGGTTTGCTCAGTCAAGAGTTAGTAGGCATGGGAAGAGAAGTAGAGGGTCGCATTGCGAAACAAATACATGTCTTTCACAATGTTGGATCTGACATACTTTAAGGATTGTAACATTTCATCATCAAGGGACACAACTTCCTGCACCTTAACACCATTGACGCCGAATTCTTCGAGCATAACATTAAAGAGTGCCTATTTGAAATTAGTAAATAAATGAAAATATGACATGACATTCACAAACAGGCTCTGATTCAATTTCACAAAAGCCTTTCCAAGAGGCTTTATCAACTTTCATGAGCTCTGTATGTTGGGTCAGAAATCCATCGGGATTTAGACGTCGACGTTTTGGCCGTCCTGCCATGAGGGTGAATATCCTGAAGATATAAGAAAGGCGAAACAATCATGGGAAAAGCAACTAAAAAATAAATCACATAAGGGCAAATTTCAATTCGTAAATATTAATGGTCGGGTGAAATCAGATGCTTCGTGGTGGACGACTTACGTTACAGAATACAGAGTACGGAGTACTTGCGTCATTATGTCATGTCAGGCTAAGTCGAATTCTAGGGTCCCCAGGTGCCCAGGCGTGTGGTCACCAGGCGTCTTAACTGGTAATTACTGGTTCCAAACACAGATGTTACCAGTGCACAATTGATATGATGTGGGTTGAACTGTTCTCAGATGTTGTGAAGTGACTCAACAGATCTTGACCTTATATAATCAGATTAAGTTATCAGATATTACTAGAAGTATCAAAAGATCTTGAAAGAACTCAGAATGTAGTAACTGTAACAAAACAGTCACTTATAAAGATGCTTAGTATAATGTTGTAGAATGATAAATGACTGTACTTTTCTACTATCTGATTACTACTAATAAGAGAGAACTTAATGAAAGATTTCATTAAGTTCACATAATTTAATTTATGTAAAGAACATAATACATGAAGTTCATCTCACTTTATTTATGTAAAAGAACACATTGTGTACACTATTTCTAATATAGTCTAGCTTAATTTTGTGTGTGCATTCTCTTTCTCTCTTCACACTAATAATATTTCTCACTTTACTCACTTTCACTCTCTTTTTCTTTTTTACAACTGCAACATCATAAAGATAAGCAGATTCTCTCATATTAAACTGCATGCTTTTTTAAGCTTTGAAATGTGCTCAATTTAAGCTTGAAAGCAATTTTACTACAGTCTATCACTATGCACATAAAATTGAGTTCTTTATGAAGAGATGAACAGAAATCTCAGCTTTAGTTCAAGATTAAGTTTTGAATCTTACTTCTTATTTAACTCTTTATGTAGAAACTAGTATGGGGTCACCACCAAAAGTTTTAGTCTCTTCATAAAATACAGAGCTGTAAATAAATTACAACAGATTACCACTATGTAACAGATTACACTCTGTCAAATCAATTAATCAACTAAGTCAATAAGTTTTTGTATGAAGTATGCACTTCTTCATCTCTCTCCATTCTAAAATCATCATATTAAATTGAAAATTCTATGGCTCTTCAATCTTCACTACTTCTATTAAATCAAGTTCATTAAACTGAAATAGATCTTCACTTAAATTATGTTCAAAATCATGATATATGCTTGAATCAGAATTGCTTGCTTCATCATCAAAATCAATGCAACAGAATAGTTGATCTTTGCAAACTCTTCTTTTAGTTTAATTTAAATTCTTGTCAGTATGATCTTCTCTATACTCATTTCCCCTCTCTGAATCTAGTATGCACTGAATATGATGAGATATGCACTCAATTCATCATTGAATTCACTTTTGTGACATGTCATTTCAGATCTGAATTCATTTTTATTTCATAGCAGTATGTGATTCAGAAGCTTCATGAGCTGTTGTACATCTTTTTATATAATTTCAGACTGACTCAATTATATTAAGATCTGATGAATTTTCTGGTCAAAGCATTCATTAAACATCTGCTGTATTGAAAATATTTTGTTGAAAAAAATGTGCATGACATGAAGTATTATTCTTCTGTACTAGAGTATTGAAATAATTCTGCATGCATTTAGATGCAAATGAAATCAACTTTGGCTTCAAAATCAACTAAAGAGATCAGTGAAATAGAATAATAAATATATATGAAGATTTACTAATCTTTTAATATCTATATCAGTCAATCTCTTTTTTACTGTTCTATACAAGCTTGTCATTTCTTACTGTGAATCTTCATTAAGACTTATATTCACTCTTGCTTTGAAGATCTAATCACTTCATTTCACAGTTAAGTTTCCATTCAGTTTTGCAAGCAGACTCACAGTCAGCATTCAATTGATCTAACTCATGCTGAGCCTCTAATTTCTCTGCTATAGTCTCAGACTTTGAAAAATGATATGGACTCTTCTTCTCATACAAAAAACAACTTCAGAACATGAATTCAAAGTAGTCTTTTCAGCAGTTTTAAATACAGATTTTGTTTAATTTCTCTGACACTCTTCTTCATATTTGTACATTTTTTCTTCACTGACTCATAATAATAGAGATCTCATCACTTCAAAAAATATTTTTTCAATTTTCTATTATTCAGTTCATATATTTTTGACAGAACTTCATTCATATCTGCTTAACTTTAATGAAAAGATCAGACTTGTAAGTAGATTTGAGATTTTGAAATTCATGTTTTTTAAGAATTTAATGAACTGTATGAGAACTAAGCTTATGATTGTATGTTAACATCTCAGTTGAGCTTTTCTGATCTGATTAATCTCTTCTTATATTCTCTATAATCTGCTGTTTCATCTCTTCAGAGATCTCTTTTTGATGACCAGAGTACTTTTTATGCTCAACATACTCTGAAAGTATACAGAAGTTGACTTCATAATTAAATTTTTATTCATGAGCTTGTTGCTTGATCTTCTTCAGAGTAGAAACAGAAATTTGGATGATTTGGGAAATCTCAGTAGAAGTATAGTCAACAGAGAGAAGAGTAAGAGCTTGAATCTTTACTGAAAGAGAATGAAATTCAGTAACAGACATGATTAACTTTAAGAAGTAATTAAATAGAGCTTCTACTAGTCATATAAAAGCTTGTTCAAAAGCTTGTACTTCATGTATGAAGAATATGAAGCATGTGAAGTAGAGATTAAGCTCTTCATACAAAATCATTTTTAAAACTTGAATGAAAATCAAAAGAGAGCTCTTTTTCAGCTTGATTACATTAGTGTATAGTAATTATGTTGTATGCATTTGAAAATATTACAGCCACTAAGCCCCTGAGAACTAAAACTTTTGGCAGCAATATCTGTAACTCATGAATTATTTTCAGTTTGATGAAATGATTAAAAGAGTCTACTTCATAAGTTTGAAAGACTTCTGAATTCAGCTTTAAGAAAGATTCTAGAAGCTTTCAGAACTTTTTCAATCTATGCTATGAAAATTGAAGCTGCTATTTCTCCACCCAAAGTGAGATTTGATAAGGTGTGATGCACAGCACTTAATATGGAACACCATCAATTCTAAATGAAATTTACTGAAAATATAGTCATTGGAAAGCTCTTGTTTCACTTAGTTATTTTGTCCATTTTTGTCTGGCAATTCACTGTGGTGGGTGGGAAATCTCACACCAAAGACTGAGTTGCCAGTTTTGGCTACTCAGACACTTTGTCTGATCATCACAACACAATCATCTCCACTACAGTTCTGAAATGCTGGAAATTGATTGCATTTGTGTCAAAGAATCTATATCTAAGAGGAAAATACTTGCATTCTCAAACTGATTAAGAATTTACTCAGTTTTGGTGGCTCTCCATCAGTCTTCCACAGTGAAAAGTTTCATGTTTCTGGCTTACTAAGTCTTAACCAGTAACACCAAAACTGATTATTATTATTATTATTATTCATTATAGTCTTGTGCAGTCTGAGACTATGAAGACTACCTGCAAGCTGTCTTGCAGCATTTAACTAAGTTACAAAAACAATGATCAGAGACATGATCAAGACAAATTAACAAATGAAAAACATACAAAAGTGTCAGAGCAGTGATTTATGTCTTTTCTTCACGGAAATTTGAAAACAAATAATGAGATTGTAAGTGAGATCTTTAAAGATACTCAGTCTGTTTCATTTAGAAGTCATCTTCTGATGACTATTTCAGTTTGTTTGAGAAACTTTCACATTCACTTCAAACTCAATTCAGTGTTAAATAGAAACTCAAGTGACAGTTGTGGAATTTTAAACTCTTTCAAACACTGTTGTCTGTCATTTTTTAGATTTAAGCAATTCATGAGCAAATGTTTTGATGTTTCTTTGCAGTCACAGTGTCTGCAGATTTCCCTATCATGATTTGATAGTCTTATTAAGTAAGAACCAAAGTAACCATGACCCAATTTCAACTGAATAATTGTTGACCAAATCTGTTTGGGGAATGAAAGTGAACAAGCTTTTCACTTTGATTTTGAATTGAATTGAGAGTAGTGATTTACATCACTTCCATTTTCAAAGATGTGTTTCAGCCATTCAAGCATTGCCATTTCTTTAATTTGTCTTTTAATGTAAGCAAAAGAAACATACTTTTCAGCACAATCTTGTCTCAATTCAGTTGCTTTCTTTGCAGCAATATCAGCTTCTTCATTGCCAAAGATGCCCATGTGAGCTGGAACCCAGTGAAGATGACACCAAAACTGAATTGGAGTCTGAACTTACATAATTATTTCACCAAACTCTATTATACCCCATCAAAGTGGTACAACTGCAGAACACAGTCAAAATTCCAGCAGAACATAGAAACTTCATCACAACTCAGTCAAAACAAGATCTTTTTAAATTCAGTTGAATATCTTCAATTCTCTGATTAATTTTCTACCTTTCTGATATTCTATTGATTTTCCCCAGCTCTGATATCCACCTCTGAAAAGTCAAACCAATTGTCAGTTGAGATCACCAACAGCAAATTCAATTGCAACTCAGTCAAAACAAGATCTTTTCAAAATTGGTTTGATATCTCAGATTCTCTGATCAATTCTCTATCTCTCTGATTTTCTATCAATTTCCTCCAGTCCTGATTTTCACTTTCAAAAAGTCAAAACCATTTGCCAGTTGGGGTCAGCAAAGATAAATTCAATCACAACTTAAACAAAACAACTCTTCTCTCTTTCTTATTTGTTTCAGAGGCATAGACTCTCTCAGTCACTGATCTCTGCATTCATCAGCTAGTGATGGTTAAAATTGCTCTTTTATAGTTAGAATAATCATACTAGACTCATATAAATATATATTGAGCACTTGATATGGAACACCATCAATTCTAAGTCAAATTTAATGAAAATATATTCATTGAAAAGCTCTTGTTTCATTTAGTTATTCTCTCCATTTTCACCTGGCAATTTTC